CCCTATTTTTCCACCTCAACAATTCGCATCAAGGTCATCCATCGACTCCACACTACTCAGTCCAGCAGTCAAGTCTCAGTGTTCATTGTCCTTAACCTTCCAGAGACCTTTGGCATGGTTGATTGCCCTTGGTTTTGGGGGGGGGGGGCAGAGGGAGAGGGAAAGAGACAGAATCTTAAGAAGACTTCACATCCAGTGTGGCACCCAAGGCAGGGCTCAATCTCCTGACCATGAGATCATGACCTGAGCCAAAATCAAGAATTGGATGCTTTACTGAGTCACCCAGTCACCCCACCCTTGCTTTCTTATGTGACTGTACTGAATTCTTAAGTCACTGGAAAGGTCAAGCCTTTTCAGTCTCTTTACGGCTTCTTGATTTCTCCCCAAACCCTAAATGTCAAAATGTTCCAGAACTTCATCCTTTAACCCCGTTCTCTAACTTCACTCATTTCCTTATTGTCATATAGCTTTAAGTACCATCTACAGATACATTGATAACTCCCACATTTATAATCAGCCTACCTGATCAGTTTCTCACGATTGTGTTTTCAGCAAACAACCTTTAGGAATGAGGTAACTGCTCCCCCATCCTACCCCAACAAGGAGGCTTGCTTCCCTTTGCTGTAAAAGTAGCTCAACGCTCCTCTCCTGTAACGGACCCCATTATATGTGCAGGGGTCCATCATGGCCCAAGGGGAATGCCGCAGAGATATAAAGCTGATGCTGGCTGCTGAGCTCTGAGTAATAAAGTCCTTTGTCTCTGACCCAGCATCCATGAAACAGTAACAGGCTAACTTGCTAGCTTATTGAGTAAATCCCAAACGCTGCACAGTTCTTAATATTAAGTACTTATGCTTCCTTTTATAAGCAACTTAACACTTTAACCCAAATAAATTACATATTTGTAACAAAGGGTTTACTCGCAAATGTTCAAGTTTATGACTTTCATAAGGATAAAAGCTCTACACAGAATGAAGTGTTTGACAGAAATGCTTCTCCATCCTCCTATGGATGGCTTTGGCCAACACCTTTACAGAATTATTTTAGATTTGAGGAAAAATTGACTAACAAAGAACATTTTAGAGCCTGGTACTATGTAGAGAAACTTCTGGCATTCCTTAAGGAATCTCTTAAACTTTAATTCTTAAATGTTGATGTGAATGCTGAGAAATTTAGGAAGGTAGTTGGGAAGTTACTTTTGATCAAGGATCCTTTTAGCTTCCCTCAAATCCACCAATTCGTTCACCCTAAGCCAGGGCCTGTACAAGCTCTTCTGAGTTCCTTAGATGAGATTTTTCATCCATCTGCTGCTTCTGAAAGTGATCCCTTAAGACAGTCATGCTTCTAGAGACGACTCATTTCTCTGATTCATTCTTAATGAAGATCCACAACTAGCAGGACACACAGCCAGTGGCTGTCGTCCTAATTTCTACATGTGTGAAACCAAATCCTGCCAATCCTTATGTAAGGCCTGCAGGCCAAAACAAATCAATCTCATAGACAAATCCTACTTGCAAAAACGACTCAATCTCTTACACAAGAAGTGGTGTTGGAATCTAGTCTTAATGTCATTTGCATTCATTTACTATGTCAAAAAAGATGGAATCTCTGCAGTCAGAATTTGCAGTACATAGGAGAAAATCATTTAAATGTTCTAACTATAGAGATGGATGGCTTTAGTGGGAGAGAAGTGTCTTTAAAATTACTGACTCCTTCAAAACTGTATTAAAAGTAGACATAATCGGGACTATCCTGGTATTATTTACTTTGTGTGTCTTTGCTGTTGGCAAGAATGCATGTTATTCCATTTCTTGGAGATAAGCAGAAAGCCACAGGGACTATTTCAACTCATATTCTGGGAAACCAAGAACTATACAACAGTCAGCCGTCAACAAATTGGTGATTAACATGATGTCTAGACAGGTTCTCATGAGAATAACATTATTAATTAAGCAGCAGTTTGGTTAATCATGATAGCAAGAGTAATTTTTGGAATAAATATTTTATTAGTGTGCCCATCAATAAAGCAAAAGTAAAAGAATATATGTTAATTAATTCATTTGTTGTAACATTGAGATTAAGGCTGGCAATTTCTGTTTGAAGGCCCAGAGAATGAGCTAATATTTTTAGTATGGCATGTCTTTAACTTACTGCTTCCAGCTAATGGTACTGTATATTTCAGTTACCCAGCCAAAATTCCTTTCTTGTCATCTATCAAGATATTATTAAGCTCCATTAGTGAATAATTGAATTTGACAAATTTTCTGTTGCTATACATTTATCTGTTCTTTTAAAACCGGGTGTCTCCCGTTTCATCAGTAACAAAAACTTCACCAAATGAAGTTTTCCTCACCAAATGAGGAAAGATAGTGAGCTTTAACTATAATTAAGACCCCGATCTTACTTTTCATCGGTCAAAAGACTCATTTGGAAAAGAAGTAAATATATTGGCCACTTCTCTTCAGTACACAGACAATAAATCTTTCCAGAAAATACAGTTTACCTGGTATTTTTGGCATAACTCATAGCCATAAAACTACAAGGAAGAAATATAAGACAATAAAATTAAGTAAAAAAAAATATTTCTTAAAAAATTATTCAGGTGAACTTGCTCTCTTTTATCTCTATAAAAGAACATCTGTGGAAGCTTAGGTTGGTGAACACTTAGGGATTTGTGGTGCACTCAAGAGGGCATGGGAGCTCTGCACTTTTCCCCACACCTTGCCCCATGCATTGCTTTCACCTAGCTATTCCTGAATTATATCCTTTTTATAATAAACCAGTAATTAACAGAAGACCACAAGTTATATAAGGACCTGAAGAACATCCTGAGTGCAGTGAAAGTGGTGCATGAAAGTTCAAAGGGAATTTCAGAAAGCCTGCAGGAGATCAACAGCAGTTAAGTGGGACAGTCATGAGGACCCCATAACCACTGCAGGGAATAATGACCTCCTTTAGGAAGACTACGAAGAGAAATGAGCTGACCAGGCTTTGAGAATCATGGAAAACTATGTAGTTTCATTCAGCGAGATGAAGAAAAGAATTGCTAAGTGGGTTGGAAACTCATGGACGGTGACAGTGCCCAGCACCACCTGGGGGTGATGCATTATGCCGAGAAGAAAGAGGAGGGCAGTGTGGCCAGGCTGAGGAAGAGCTCATCAGAGCCCAGACTGTGTTTAAAGCTAACTGTAGGGGCGCCTGGGTGGCTCAGTGGGTTAAGCCTCTGCCCTTCAGCTCAGGTCCTGATCTCAGGGTCCTGGGATCGAGTACCGCACTGGGCTCTCTGCTCAGCGGGGAGCCTGCTTCCCTTCCTCTCTCTCTGCCTGCTTCTCTGCCTACCTGTGATATCTGTCTGTCAAATAAATAAATAAAATCTTAAAAAAAAAAAAAAAAAAGCTAACTGCAGTTGTTGCAGTCTGAACCAGGAACCACTAAAGGAGCTGCCTATTCTTTATGATAGTGTCATAGCCTGTGACCATCTTCCAAAACATTTCTAAGTTGAGGGACATCTTCTACGGAGAAATGAACAAACGCAACCACAATTTCTATGAGGTGATGAACAAGCTGAAGAAGCAACATTCCAAGAGTCTTGCTGGTGAAGGGACCATCAACCAGCAACAGATGCTCCTTGGTCGTCTCTTCCACGGTTCGAACACCTACGGTTCTAGGCTTCTTAGCTCACCAGTCCCTCTGCATTTTCCTGAAAGAGTGAGATGAAATCCGCCTCAGCAAGTGAAGAAGAACTAGCACCTGAGCCTGCCCCGTGTAGACAGTCTGGAGGTGAATTCCAGATTCAGGTTCTTCATCTGCAGGCTGGTCACAAACCCTAGATAGATTGTTCTCTGTATTGAGAACTTCAGTCTTTGACACCAGGACTATCGGAAACATTTCCTTTCCGAATGTTATTTTATAAGGGGGAGGTGGGGATAGACTTTAACAAGAAAGAGAAGTAAGAACACAGACTGTATGACCACTAATTAGGTATGTATTTTTTATCAAAGTACTCAAGAGTAATTTTAGACTCGACGAGATGCATTCATAATTCTGTCCTCCAGGAACTACAGTGTCTCCAGGTCCACAAAGTAAGAATTGCCTTCTCAGTATAAGTACAGAAAACAACATGAAAATCTAGGCACCTGCATTTATTTAACCACTAGTAGCCAAAGTACAAATGATCTCTTCAATGTCATTGTATGATTAATGACCTCAAAGTTAATGCATTTTCTTATGGTATAATTAACAAAACAATTTAGTATTTAAATAGGATTTATAGTCTCAGAGCATTTCAAATAATTAAGTAGATGATCGGTATTTAATTTACAATTAACATATTTTGATTCCTTTTATAGCCATAAAATTGACTATTAAATATTAAATAAATAAACAAATAAATGGCTATTAGATATTAAAATAGTTGTAGTAATAATGAGTGCTACTATAAATTGTTCTCTAAATAGTCCAAACTTTAAAATATATGTTCTGAATAATCTGAGGTGATTTTAAAAGTATGAGAACTGTAAATCCCAAGTCAAAAGCTAAGTCAAATATCTAGAAAATATTTCCCATTCCTGCATACTGTTTTAGAAAGTTATTGCAGCTAAGCAGTAATAGAAAAGCTCTTTAAAATCACAGCTATTTTGGGGGCGCCTGGGTGGCTCAGTGGGATAAGCCTCTGCCTTCAGCTCCGGTCATGATCTCAGAGTCCTGGGATGGAGCCCCACATCGGGCTCTCTGCTCAGTGGGGAGCCTGCTTCCCCCTTTTCTCTTCCTGCCTCTCCGCCTGCTTGTTATCTCTCTCTCTCTCTCTGTCAAATAAATAAAATCTTTTAAAAATAAAATAAAATCAGAGCTATTTTTTAAAAACAAGATTTTTTTCCTATTAAGATTCACAGACATCATTACTATGTACTCTTTGTCTTTATTTTATTGGATTATATAGGCTTTTCAGTTCTGGATATTTGGCATCAATTCTTAAAGTATTTTTTTTTTCTCTTTTGCAGTTGGTTGGTTTTGTGTATGCCTGTTATGTGATCAGTATTTTCATGGAAGAAGAGGACACCTGTAAGTACTATTATAGCTACTTGTGGGTTTATTTTGGGTGAGCTATAGCTTCCAAAGCTAATCATTAGAGGGCTATGAAAGCTTTCATAGCTGGAATTTTAAAATGCCTGAATGAAGCCCAGTAAAGTCACAATCAAATGTTTGCAAACAGAACGGCTCACAAAGAAGATGGCACTAAGGTTTGAAACTCTCAGTCCCCACTGTATGTGTGGCTGCCCAGAGTCATGAAGGTCAACAGATTGTTGTCATATCATGTCTTAGCAACTTTTCTTCAAAGATCTAAATATAACGTGGAACAGAAAATCGGGGATTATTTTATCCATGATCCATCTTAAGTATGCTACTGAAGAATTTTGACATCTGACTAATAGCAATAACATCAATACAGTATATCATAGCAAGAATTCTAGATATAAAATGCTCCACAAAACTAGAAATGAAAACCTTTAAGGTGAGATGTAAAAAAAAAAATTTTTTAAGAAATGGTATAAAAGAACTAATAGGATGCTAGAAAGCTAAGTATTCGTGTTTCAGCAGAATACTACCAATGAAATAAAAGACAGAGAGGACCTGACATTACCAGGGCAGAGGTTTAGCAACATATGCCAAAAGCCCGCTGATGTATAAGGCACATTTCGGTGCAACTGTTATGAGCCCATGTGATACCAAAGAAAACTTTATTTTTAAAAAATAAGTCATTATTAGATAAACAAATCCCACCCACCTATCTCAAAGTTTCAGTTATATCATCGCAGTTACTGTCTGGGTTATAAAGTTGACCTTTAAAAAAAAAACAAGGATGAGTGTCCTGCTAGCCATGGTGACCTCTTTCTAGAGCATAACTCCAAAGGGGTCTGATGAATGCTTCCTACCAAATAGGTGTAGTCACAGTACATGAGCTGGAATCCACAGTGAGGATTTATTTAACCAACTGGAAGAAATATGGGACCCTGAGATTAAATTCTCAGGTAGTGAAAATGTGTGAACATACTGCATTCTATCTTTTACACTGGCTTAGGGGTATTTTTTTTTTTTAAATACTAGATGAACCAGAAAGTTTTTGACATTTCAGAAGTGCTGTTGTAATGACAGCACTTCCCACTCTGAGGTTAACGTCAGAACATATATTTTCAGGAGTTCCATTAGTAGCTCCCCAATCCGACAGAGTTAACCCACAGAAAATCAGCAGCAGGTTTCCAACCTACAGCTGAGACAGGTGTATCTCCAAAAACATGAGACCTAAAGGAAATTATTAGAATAAACACTTCCAAAAAAAAAAAATACACTGCCTGATAAATCCCAACTGAATCCCTCATAAAGTAAGTTTGAATCACTACCAAAAGTGCCTGTTTCTTGTTCTCCTCACTGAACTCGGAGGCTCTCATTCTCCAGATTACTGTATTGTGCGAGAAGAGGCAGATTAATCAATAATGTTTTCTCCATTAGAATAAATATATACAGGACTTTTCCTTGAGGCTTGTGATTTTAAGCAAATCTTGGAAATCCAAAATGACATGCAAAAGAAAAGGTTCATCTACACTGGGTAAAGGATTTATTTTGACCTTCTGTCATCCTTCTTTCAAAGTAATAATGTCGGTGGCTATGGATTGTATTGCTACTGGCAGATATTACAGTGCCGTTGACTTTGATGTCTTTAATTAGCTTACGTTTCTCTGTAGAAATCTCTGAATCAGCTATTTGAATGTTCCTCAAACTGGCATTCAAGCAGCTGCTGGAAGCCTATGCTATTAATGGTTTAATTCCAGTGTTTGTTAGGAGGGCCATGCATTAAGTTACCAGGAGACATCTGGATATAGTAGTTGTGTTACCATCAATTCAAACAAAACATAGAGCCAGAAAAAGTCGTGGGTGGGTGCTCAAGACAAAATAAATATGCCCTACACTGACTTGACATGATGATCTACTGGAAGAAAGACGACAGGGAGAAAGCAATCACAAACCTTTTAGTCTAATAGTTCTCAAGTGAGTGTAATTTTACATTTTTTATTGAAAGAAGTCGAAATCAAAGTGCAGTTGTAATTAAATTGTCCCAGAGTCTTCAGAAGGCAGATGTGAGCAAAGAGAAATGTCTGGAAACCAATTGCAATGATCTCATAGACCAGTCCAATCTGTGCCAACACTTAGGTTTCAGGTGCAATAATGAACTGCCCTTTGGATATGACATTACCGACCCACAGTCAAAAAGAGGTGTCTTTTGATTGTTTTTTTCAAAATGTAAACCTACAGTGAGAAAGCAGTACTGGTAGCTTTCCAATTTGTCTAAGTATACTTCTGGAAAGCCAATTCTGAAAGGTAACTGCAAATATATAATGTAATGTCACAGTATTTTGGCAGACAATGTATCATTTATCATTTCGATTCCTATTCTAACTAATGAAAATCTCTGCATTATTCAGAATGCAAAGTTAAGTCTTGTTCTTGGACTGAAAGCTGTCTGCCAGCCTTAAAAATTAATAACAGCTACCGGCTCTCTCCTCTGCACCGCCTAAGTGGTTCTATGGGACTAACATTTCAGCTGATGGATATGTCTGAAGGGTAATAAATGCTTGAGGAAACATTTATTTCCAGCCACCCATCTTCTTAGTTACCTCTTGGCCTCTTCTGCTAACTCTATCTCTTCTAAAGACTCGGATTGCAGGTCAAAGACAATGAAATAAAAAGCTCAAACAGGGAAGAATGCTGTTTGATGGGGTCAGAACTTCCCATCACTCATTCCAACGAAGAAACCTATTTATAGCTCTTGTCTCATTTTTATTTCTTTTTTAAATATCTATCAATCTCTACGAACACTTTTTTTTTTAAGATTTTATTTATTTATCTGACAGACAGAGATCACAAGTAGTCAGAGAGGCAGGCAGAGAGAGAGGAAGGGAAGCAGGTTCCCTGCTGAGCAGAGAGCCCGATGCAGGGCTCGATCCCAGGACCCCGGGATCATGACCTGAGCCGAAGGCAGAGGCTTTAACCCACTGAGCCACCCAGGCGCCCCTCTATGAACACTTTTGTGAGACCAGGGTATTTGGAATCTGTGATCACAAAAACCTGTCGACGTCTTGTTTGTGAATCATCTGCTGCTGGAAATGAACTCGTAGGCTTGTTCCTATCTTGTCACACTTACGAAAAAGAATGTTTTTAATTCAGGGAAGTGTGTAGGCAAGGCAAAAGATGCTGAAACATAGTATTAACGTATGTAAATATTATCAGGCTTCTACCGAGGATCTGTAGCGAGCATGACTGCTTCTGATATCAGTTTGTAAATTGCACCTGGGACACAGGTTTGGTCTCTCACAAAAGCCAGTCTGGGTTGCATACGTTGAATAGTCAGAGAAAAGTATATTGACAATCCTAAGAGTTAGTTTTTGAGAAGGAAATAAATCCCCCCCAGATGCAGGTTCGATAATTTACATTGAAATTCTCGAAATGACTCTTTATGCCACCATTTGACCCTTGCTAATATACTTTTGGGGAACTTCTCATTGGAAGGAAGCATGACTCTTGGAAAAATATTCCATACTCAACTGTCCTTGAGGCTTCCTGTAGGCTGGTGTTCATGTATTTTCCTCTCTGCCCATAAATTCCTTTTAAGAGTATAAGATGATATTACCATAGCAGTGATGTGACTTGGAAATAAATAACCCTGTCTACCTTAAAAATAAAATAGTCATCAACAAAATTCGTTTCTTTGGTAACAGCAGAGGAATCGTAATTTGGGACAAGCAAACGATGGGAACCACAGGCAAGTCCCAAGAGACAAAGGGAAAGTCTGCTGTTATTGGGTTGTAGGAGGAAATTAGGGAGGGTTATTTTAAACAAAAGTTGCCTGGAGAAGAACAAGAAAGAGTACAAAGTTGCGGCGTTCCTCATTAGTTTAAGCGTGGTTAATGCGTTGCTGGAACAGGGAGGGATCTTCCTTCTTTTTCTTAAAAGTGGAAGATGAAATTCCTATGTGAAAAATGTCTTCCCTTGTCAAGATAATTCTTGCCTTCCTTCTTCCTGCTGATTCCACAGCCTGGTACATGCGCGAGAGGTGCCCCTTCAGCGCTTCCCTGTTCCATTTTAAAGATCTATTGATTTCTTCATTTTGAGAGAGGGGTTGGTGGGGCTGCACGGATGGAGACAAAGTCTGAAGCAGACTCCCTGCTGAGCATGGAGCCCGATTCCATTTTAACTGAGACTTCCTTCATTTATTTACACAACCCTTATCTCCTTCTAAGAATTTACCAAAGCAGTTAATGGGAGGACAATTGGTTAGTTTGGATGTTAACTTCCCAGTGTCCCTTCCTGGCTCTGTAATGTTTGCAGAAGCCTTAGGGAAGGAGAGTAACCCAAAAGTGGGGCACCAAGGGAAGGAGAGAAATCAGCAGAGGATGGAAGATCCCCAGAATAGAGAATTGTCTCGTGAGCCTTGCAACACACAGGCATTTGAAGTGGAGGGACAGGAGAATTTGCTGAGTCAGAAACAAAAATGCAGGTATGATCCTTTAGTCACAGCCAACGTTTCAAAGGAGTCAGAACATTTGTTCAATAAGCCATCGAGAATCTACTGATTCTCAGAGAGGATAAATTTCTTTGGGTAACTACACAGTGGGGTTGCACTAACTAACCTCACCACAGTTTAGACTTAGAGCCTGAAGCATCTCCCCTAATTTGATGAGAAGACTTTATCAAATAGCTACAGAATTACTAGCTAATCTTCCTACCAGAATAGATGATTGGTGAGGTCAGGATCTTTATTTTGTTCCTGATTTAATCCTAGAGCCTAGAAAATGCCTTGCACATAGCGATAAAGAAATGATTGCTGAATTTATAGGGCAAAATTCTCTTGGCCTAGCAACTCATTTTTAAAAATGGATTTCAAAACCCCAAGATTCCCAAATTTAATGAAATGATACTGCCTTAACGTTTAAGCACTGAGTGAGATGCCTGATGCACGTACAAATATTTATGTTTGGCGAATGGCATTCCTGCATCTCTTTAACAAA